CTCACAGAGCGCCGGACAAGCGCCCTGAACCGACTCCTCTCATGAGGCCGAGCCCCGACCCGCCACCGCCCCTCATGACTCTGCCCTCACAGCTCTCCCCGTCCGCCATTTTAAACCGTCCCCTCCCTCCCGCGCCACAACCGACTCCCTTCACCATCGCTTTTTTTTTTCCCCGCTGCGGCGGTTTCCCACCCCTCTGCCCCTTCACCACACGCGCACAGCCCTGCTCTTATTTCCTTTTCTTTTTATTATTGTTTTTCTTACGGTTTTCAACACATATTGTTCAAAAAAAAATAATTCCCCGCCTCCCCGGAGCTCTTCCGGGTCACAGCGGCGCCGTTTTCAGGGCCGCTTTCCAACGCAGGGGCGAATTATTAATTTAGGGGTGGATTCCCCGCGCTCCCCGCGGGACCACCTCGGAGAAAAGGGGTAAAAAGGGCTCCGGGCTCGGGGCGGCGGTGTCGTGGGCGGGGCGGCTCCGCGTTTCCCTTCCGGGGTCCCGCCGGCCATTTTGTGGCGTTAAGCCGCGCGCGCGGGCGGTTCCCCCTCATTTCCTCTCCGCGGCGGACGGGACGGGGCGGCTGCTCCTGGCGCTTCGCTCCGGCCTCGGGCCGCCCCTCGGACCCTGAGGTTGGTGCTGCTCCCTGCGGGCCCCGCGGGCTTTTCCCTATGCGCTGTAGTTCTCCTCGTTTCTGGGCTCTGCCGCGCCGCCGCCTCGGCGCTCGCCCCGCGGCGTGAGGCGCGTCGCCCTCAGGGCCGCGCCGGCTGCTGACCCCTCACATCGCCCTCAGGTTTATTCTCGTCGGCCGCCGCCGCCCCTCAGGGGCTCCAGCCCGCCATGAGTTACGGCCGCCCGCCGCCCGACGTGGAGGGCATGACGTCCCTCAAGGTGGACAACCTGACCTACCGCACCTCCCCGGACACCCTGCGGAGGGTCTTCGAGAAGTACGGCCGGGTGGGCGACGTCTACATCCCGCGGGACCGCTACACCAAGGAGAGCCGCGGCTTCGCCTTCGTGCGCTTCCACGACAAGCGGGACGCGGAGGACGCGATGGACGCGATGGACGGGGCGGTGCTGGACGGGCGGGAGCTCCGCGTGCAGATGGCCCGGTACGGCCGCCCGCCCGACTCGCACCACAGCCGCCGCGGGCCGCCGCCCCGCCGGTACAGCAGCAGCGGGTACGGCCGCCGCAGCCGCAGGTGAGCAGCGAACTTACGGCAGTAGATGGGGGGACGAGGCTTAGGTCCTAGCGGGCGTAGCGGGGGCCGCGTGTTTGTGTATTGGTTGCCTAGAGAGGTGGTGGAGTCTCCCGCACTGGGGATACTCGGGCAGCCGAGTACACGACATAATCATGTGCTCCGGGATGACCCTGCTTGAGGAGGGAGTGTAGACCAGATGACCCTCTGCGGTCCCTGCCAACCTGACCGGTTCTGTGATTCTTTAGCCTTTTCCCACTGAGTTTCGCGGCGGGGTTGGGCGGGGGGAGTAGGGGCTTAGTAGCGAAGGCACATATGGTCCCCTCGGAGTGGAAGGTTTTTGCCCGTAGTAAATTTAGCCCCCGGCCACTCGCTCTGAACAATGGCGCCCTCTTAACGCTCGTTTTCTTGCCCACGTGCGTCCTGTCCCGCCCTCCCTGTCCCGCGGCACTCGCTGGATTCTGCGCTGCCCGTGAGCAACTTTTAACGCGTCTTTTTTTTTTTTTCTTTTTCCTTCCCCTTCCTGGCATGTTTTAGCCCTAGAAGACGCCGTCGCAGCCGATCTAGAAGCAGGAGCCGCTCTAGATCCCGCAGTCGGTCCCGCTACAGCCGATCCAAATCCCGGTCTCGTACACGCTCTCGGTCTCGCTCCACCTCCAAGTCCAGGTCTGCCAGGAGATCCAAGTCAAAGTCCTCATCTGTCTCCAGATCTCGGTCCAGGTCAAGATCCCGGTCCAGATCTAGAAGCCCTCCCCCTGCTTCAAAGAGGGAATCCAACTCTAGATCCAGATCTAAGAGCCCTCCCAAGTCTCCGGAAGAAGAAGGAGCTGTATCCTCCTAGGAACATGGTAATGTACCTCGGGATCAGCACATGTTGCATGTTACTTTATTAGAGCACTTAGGTGGGGTGTTGGGTAGTTCTTAGAGCATTAATAGCCTGAACCAAGTGAATCCTAACGGGGCACACTGTTAGTTGTTGGTTTTGGTTTTTTTTTTCCTGAGCAGTGCTTTTTGGTTATTGGTTTAGGGAAGTTATTACTGAAGGGTTTTCTACGGAAATATTTTTTTTTTTCTACAGAGAAAATGTTTTATTGCGAGATTAATGCCTTGGTTTTATTAAAATATTGTATGAGACGCAACCTATGATGCAAATGACTATTTCTTACTGTATTTATCCAACATCTGCATTTTCCCCTTTAAAGCTGCGGTCTCCTGTTTGCTAAAAGAATATTGGCCAGTATTGCAGATTTTAACTGATTTGGCTGATCCTCCAGGGACCAGTTTCTGTGGGCGTGTGTTGGAGCAGGTTTGTCTTACACTGTTAAAGATACACTATCCTTTTAGAACGGAAGATCGGTTCAGTGGCCGTTGTACTGACTGGAGGTAATAAGTGTCCTAGAAAAGGGGCAAATTCCTTGGCAACGAGAAAACCACGGAAACTAGTTTTTCCTCAAGTCGACATCTTGGAAGAGGCATCTAAGGATACACTGGGTGGGGAAAGGATAGTGTGTCTTTAACCCTTCAAACTGTTTGGTCCTGTTTTTTAAAAGGAAAGGGCCTAAGCTAGCTCTGGAGTTAGATAATTGTAGCAAAACTAGTCACGTTTTCTGTTTTGAACGCTACTTAAGAGTTTAGTTAAGTCTTTATGAAGAAGTATTAGCTTTGTTAACTTTTATATAGCTTTTAATAATCGATTGTTGAACAGGCTGAATTGAAGTTAATGGTGGCTTGATCTACAGCCTGGTGCTTGTTCTCCTTTGTAACTAAATACTCTGACAGAACCTTACATTTGGCCTCTGAAGTAAAGCGACACAAGGGGGGGGAGGTGGAACACTGTGGAAATTCCTAAAACTTAAAATTAACTTAGGCAAAGCCAGTTGAAACACAACTAGAAGTATCCCTGAAGTCATCCACACCCAAAACAGACAAGGTAGAAACCTGGCTGAACTTTCTTTTCTTCAAACCTAGATGCTTCAGCTAAATGAGAACCCACATAAAGGACGCCTTTGGGGGGAAAAGATCGCTTGAGTCTTCAGCCCATTGGAGAGACCCTGGCCGAGCAACCAGCTGTTGAAAAGGTTATTTTGTAACATTTTGTCTAACTTTTTACTTGTTTAAGTTGCGCCTCAAGTGGCAGATTTTACATTTCTATGTGCCATTTTGTTGCTGTTATTCAAATTTCTTGTAATTTAGTGAAGTGAACGACTACCGATTTCATTATTGGCTTGGATATTTGAGGTAAAACTTCATTTTTGTTTATATAGTGCTGACTTCTATTGGAAATTAAAACCGATGGTAACTTGCTGCCTCCAGTTTCATACTGAGGAACCATGCAGCCATTATATGCCGAGTAGCTAACTGTCAGAAAGTATTCTCAATTTTGTTTTTATTCCTTAAAATTCTACAGAACTTCAATTTGAAACTTAACTGTAAATGCTTTTTTTTTTTTTTAAAGAAAAAACAACTTTGCATTAAAATAGTATCTTCAAATTCAAAATTGGTAGAAATCTTTTCAGGTGACAGTTGATATATGAAAGGATTGTTTTATCAGACTCAATTCTAATCTCTTCTCTTATGTATTTTTGTGCACTAGGCGCAGTTGTGTAGCAGTTGAGTAATGCTGGTTAGCTGTTAAGGTGGCGTGTTGCAGTGCAGAGTGCTTGGCTGTTTCCTGTTGTCTCCTGATTGCTCCTGTGTAACGATGCCTTGTCGTGCAGAAACAAATGGCTGTCCAGTTAATTAAAATGCCTGACAACTGCACTTCCAGTCACCCGGGCCTTGCGTAAAAAATATGGAGCATACAGTGAGCACATCTAGCTGATGATATACACACCTTATTATTTCCAGAATGGTAAAACTTACCAACCTACATATATGAACTTACATATGAGATATGTAATGTTAAGAACAGAAATGGTTCATTCCTTTGTAAGTACTGATTGGTGTATCTTTTGCTTAAGATATTCTGTACTATACCCACTGTCTCTGTAGTTAATATTAAACATTTTTCTGTGTTAACTTTTCTCAACTTAATGTCTTGGGTCAGCTTATTTTTAGCTTGAAAAGATTTCTGCAATTATACTGTCTATGTTTAACTTCTATATAGTAACTGAATGCATTCTACTGCTTATAAATTTTATCCACCGGGGTTGCTTTTAAATTACTGTGGGCAAACTCAAATTAGTATTGTGACTAACCCGACGTTGTGTGGCAAGTGTTGCACACCAGGCTGTGAACACTGACCCAGCCAGGTCCTGGGGTGTTGTGGAAGGTCCACACTGAGCAGTACTAATTGCATTGCTGTGTGCTTGCCCAGGCTGCTGCTTGATGGGGGCTGATCTTACAGTGATGATTTTTCTTGATTTGGTACCAAATGAATTGTAACTTCAACCATCCTGTGTCAAGGGTTATTGTAATGCCTTGTTAATTTTATGCATGTATGTTAAATGGGAATGGAAACATCTGAACGCTGGCAGTATGGCTTTTGTGGAGGATTAAAAGTACTTTTCTACAAACTGGGGAGTTTGTATGTTCCAGATTAGCACAGTCTACACACACTCATTTACAAAGGGGCTGGCTTTTGTATGTGGATCCCAGGATTCCCAGTCTGACGAATTCCTGGGGCTTGTTTTTAATTTGAAAGAGTGCAGTTACCTTTCCATTGCTGAAGTTGTGGATTTAGGTTGGATCTCATGGATTTCCAGGCTAAGCTGTGTTGTGTAGTGGCTTGACACAATGGAATTGAGTCTCTGAACTATTTCATGGGCTTTGGGGAGGAGCACAAATTTCTCATAAGCCATAGCTGGAAAAAAACAAACAGCTTTATTTTTACAATGCATGTTTTAAGAATTAACTGCTTCCCAGAAATAGACACAAGGTTTGCTGTAAACAGGACTGTTTTCTGCAGATCAGAACAGCTGAGTATCACCTTGTACTGGAACCTAAAGTGGAATAAACTGAAGTGCCCTCTGACTGTGCCAGTGAGATGATCATCATTTCGATTGTGTGCCTTCCTGGGAGAGACGAGCTGGCCAAGTGCTCCTTGTCTGCACCGAAGGAGTGTAGGGGAACGTGGATGCTCCTCAGGTTCCATTTGCAGAGCAGAGCCTCGATAGACCAGTCAGCACTGAGGGGAGGATATACAGCATGTGAAAATGTAACCCAAGGTTACAACTGCTGCAGTAACTAACAGGCTGTCAGCAAACTTCAGTACAGCACAGATGGGTTTGTAAGAGTTTTCTAGGCAACAGCAAATTGAGGGTTCTTGGATTACTTTCAGGTTTGGCTGCTTTTGCCTGCTACCCCCAGGATTTACTGGGCTAATAGCAGCCTCATGCACAGTAAGGAGCTTTTCTGAGTCAGAGCAGTGGTGCCTCTGAGAAGTTAACACTTGTCAAAAGCTGAGACAGGAATTAAGGTTTGAGTCCTAAATATGGAAAAGATTTTACCTTCGGACTTGATAAGTAGTCCAGAACTGAGCATGTGGATTCTTCTCCAGCAAGAAGTAAATTGTAGTTAAAATATCTTCAAAGTCTGTGCAGTTTGGGGAGATAAAGCAGTCTGGGTTAGCCTCTGGATTCCAGGTATAGAGAAATCTGTCTGGTTCTATGAAATGGGAATTAAAAAATTAAACAAGCAGATTACATCTGTATGGGAGAACTGAGATACAGGGTCTGAAGCATTTAGTTATTACTCCATTTTCTATTCCCCCTCAGTTGTATTTCTGACAGTTCAGAACTAGAATAACAAGGTCAGTAGCACAGTGTCACCCGATCCCTCCACAGTGTTCCCAGCATTACTTGGCCACCATCTCCTCGCCGCTTGTCACAAACCAAAGATACCTGAGAGAGCATTAACATACCTTTGGGGTCAAAAAAGACATCTGAGCCTAAAATAATGTCTACAGGAGCAAGAGCGAGCAGCTCTGGCGATACGCGGCCCCAGGTGAGCCCGATGACGGGCACGTGTGGCAGGCGGTTGCTGAGGCAGCTGCGGCGGCAGCTCTGCAGGCAGCAGGGCAGCTCCTCGCTGTCCGACAGGGTCACCTGCGCGCCGCACCGGGCGGCCACCACGCCCGGCAGGCTCACACCGGCTCCGATCTGCAACCACAGCGTGTCCGTGGGGTCGGGCCCGCGGGCACCCGCGAGGTGTCGGGGTGCGGGCAGGGCCGTACCTCCAGCACTCGCCTGCCGGGCAGGCTCCGCCGCTGCGCCCACACGTACTGCGCCAGGACCACGGCGCTGGGCCACGCGTACAGCCCGTACTGCGAGTCCAGCACCTGCAACACACGGGGCGGGGCGCTGGGCCGGTGTTCCCAGGTACCCCCGCTATTCCCGGGGATCCCCGGCATTCCCGGCTGTCCCCGGTACCTCGGGCACACGCACGGCCAGCGCCGCCGGACCCTCCTCGAAGCGGTACCGCCGCGCGCGCCGCCGCGGCTCCGCCATGGAACCAATGGCGGGCGGACACGTGAGGGCGCCGGGCTGCGCCGGCCAATCGGCGCCTCCTTTCGCCGTGACGTCACGCGGAGCGCCGCTGCGGGTGACGATGGCGGCGCCTGCCCCGGGCACCGCTGGCACACCGGGCCGCGCCCGCCCGCGCCGCCGCCCCGCCGGGACGCTGCGGGCGCCTCCGCGGGCCGGGGCTGGGAGAGCAGAGGAAGCCGGGTGATGCGCGGCCGGCCCGCCGCTGTCAGCAGAGCAGCAAGCGCGGAGCGCGGGCCCGCCGCGGGACGGGGAGCGGCGGCGGGGGATCCCCGGGGCTGCCAAGGGCGCCCGCGCTCCCTCCGCGCTGCCCTTCCTCAACATGGCGGCGCGGGGGCGCCGCTTCCCCGGCCCCGGCCAATTAACGTCGGGGCGTGGCGGAAACCGCGGCACAACCAACCAATGGGAGCGCGGCGGGGGCGGGGCCGCGGTCACAGCGGCGGCACCGGGTGAAATTTCTGGAAGGTGCGGCCGGAACGGGGCCGGCACCGGGAGCGGGATCCGGGGAAGGTGACGGCGGGTGGTGACGGCCCCCAGCACCGCCGCCGCCGTCATGAACCACAAGAGCAAGAAGCGGATCCGCGAGGCGAAGCGCAGCGCCCGCCCGGAGCTGAAGGACTCGCTGGACTGGACCCGCCACAACTACTGCGAGACCTTCCCCCTGAGCCCCGCCGCCTGCAAGGTCTGAGGGGAGAGAGAACGATGGGAATGGGATGGGGGAGAATAGGGAGGGGGGTACGACTGGAGGAGTCCTGAAGGGAACGGAGGGCGCCTAAGCGTCTTGGGGGGGACACGAGTGAGGAAATTGGAGGGAGTCCTGGGGGGAATAAGGAGGTCCTAAGGGAACGGGAAGGGGAAATGACCCTCCTGAGGGGGGACTGGGTGGCCTGAGAAGAATGAGGGTCAGAGGGTAAGGGTGCGGAAGGGGGGATGAAAGGATTGGAGTTGCCTGAAGGGGGGGTCTGAAGGGAAGGGGCCCTTTCCCGAGGCCGAGGTTGCCCCAGAGCTGGCGGGGCTCTCCGCTGGGAGGGAGAGGTTCGGGAGGGGGAGGACAAGCAGCACCCACGTTTTTTAATTCCCTCCACGTGGCGAGGGGTGCGGGGAGGTGCGGGCCCGCCGGGGTGGGATGGGCACCCATATAATTCCCTGGAGTCCTCCCTTGTGTCCTCAGGGGGTGGAATGCGGCAGTGGACGTGTCAGCCGAAAGGGCAGCGTGGCCTCGATGGGGAGCAGTGCCAAAGGCTTCAGGCTGCCCGTGACACTGGTGTGTGCGGGGAGCGGGCCAGGAGGAACAGGGCTGCAGCCTCGGGGAGCTTAAAATAACACGTAGGCAGCTCCGTCCCCTCGCGGTGTGTGAAGCTCCCCCACTGGGAAGCGCGGTCCTAGGACGTCAGCCTGTCCTGATATCTGTTCTGCTTCCCTCCCCGGTCTCACAGGATAACGTGGAGAGGGCAGATGCGCTCCAGCTGACGGTGGAGGAGTTTGTTGAGCGCTATGAAAAGCCTTACAAGCCCGTGGTGTTGCTGAACGCCCAGGTGGGCTGGTCTGCCCAGGAGAAGTGGACGCTGGAGCGGCTGAAACGCAAATACAGGAACCAGAAGTTCAAGTGTGGGGAGGACAATGACGGTTACTCTGTGAAGATGAAGATGAAGTACTACATAGAGTACATGGAAACCACACGTGATGACAGCCCCCTGTACATCTTTGACAGCAGTTATGGGGAGCACCCCAAGCGCAGGAAACTCCTGGAGGACTATAAAGTACCCAAATTCTTCACCGATGATCTCTTTCAGTATGCAGGGGAGAAACGGCGGCCACCCTACAGGTACAGTGCAGGGACAGCAAGACAAAAAGGGCTATTTCTCACCTCCTTGGCTATTCCTGAATAGCTGTGATTGTCTCACATTAAAAAAAAAAGTACAGCTTTAATTTGTCTCTTAAAATAAGAGTGTAAATCTGTAATCCAGAGGAAGAGAAGATTTGTGTGTAGCAAATTCTTGTTCTCCCACCAGAGCTGCTACAAGTTTATGGTATTTTTTCCTTTTTTTTTTTTCCTTTTTGTTAAGTCAGTTTACATCACTTCTTAGATTTTTTAAAATTTACATAGTTACTGAAAGATATGAAGATTGATTTCTTGCTCTGTGTGCCTTCTGGCTCTCAAATTTTAAGTACCTCAGGACTGGCTCCTGGGTTTTGCACCAGTGGCTTATGTACAGTGTGGAATTTTGTTTAATTATGAGTCAGTCCTTTTAAGGTAAAGATCTTAAACTAGATTAGGATCTAGTGTAGGACTAGTTCTTAGCTTTCCTTCAGATGATTTTGAGAGAGAACAATATTTTACATCCATGTAGTCTTTTCAACTCTATTTTTTCTTCAGATTGGAAAAGGATTGAAACAACTCTTCATTCATGAATTCAAACGCAACAACCTTGTATTTTCACTGTTAGATATAAAAGCCATTTCTCTCTATGTTGATGCAACACTTCATAGCAGTATGAGCGTGAGCTGAACCCTCCCAAGTAATTAAAGTCTTTATAGCAACATTATAATTGTCAGACAATGCCTTTTGCCCTCTGAGTGACATGAGGCTCTGATGTGGTTTATTTAAATAAAACAGAACAAGTCATGAATCATGTACTTCCCTCTGCACTCTCTCACGTGTCTGTAGTCCAGTTGTGCTTTTGCAGGAGTGAAGCAGGAGCTTAATTCCATTTAAGATCACTGAAGTGGGCTTTTTTACAGTGTTGTAGCAGATGCTTTTTATAAAGCTCTTCTAAGAACGTACTACTGTGGTTGAACACAAAAGCACAGTAGTCTGTAGTAGAAACTGAACACACAGGACTGGGAATCATTTATCTAAGTTACAGGTAAACAAGATAATCTGGTTGTGATTCATTTATATTGGTGTCTCTCTCCCCCACACCCTCCCCACCTACATGCACATGCTGAGCCTCTTTGTGATCTTGGTATTCACATTTCTTGTACTTTGTTCAGGAAAATGTGGGTTTGTTTCTGGCTGTTGCTGTTTTTTTGAGAGATGAGTGGTGCACGAGAGAGCACACTGATGCCTCCTGGAATTAGAGGGTTCATCTGGGTACAGAAATGGATGAAGAGTGCCCAGGACTTTCAGAGCATAATTGAAAATCTGACAGGAAATGGTACAAATCATATGATGAGGATATGACCTGTACAGGTTGGCCTCTGAATTGAGAGGTGTGTGATAGTGTGTAGACCTTAAAGTAAGAACTGGTGCTGTTCAAAGCATTTTTATTGGTGTTGTTCCTCTCTAAGATAAAGACAGTAATTTTTGGAAGCCATTGGCTGAAGCAGCTCTTTTAGTTTGGGGAGAGGGGTTGGGGTTTGCTTTCAGATCGAATTTAGGACACAAGAAGTTTTTAACGGTAAATTTGATGTCTTGTGGCAAATTGGGTTTTGTTCATTGTAAGTTAATTGCCTGTAGGAAGATGCTGGTAAATGACAGTGTTGCTAAATAAGGGTTTTAAAACCTGCATGTGTAGATTCGGGTTATTGTCAGGAAAATTGTATTGAGCAGTGCATCTGTCTGTGCCAGTCAGATCTCCATGAGTTTAATGTTTTCTGTCTTCTTAGTGAAAGCCTTGACTGTTCTGCTTGTGGTTTAACCAGCTTTCCAAGGCTAATATGAATCTGAAGAGCGAGCTGACAATAGAAATTATGAACACCTGCTTGTTTACAGCTCCTTTGTGAAGAAGGAAGAAAGCAGCTTGATAATCAAACTTACAGTCCTTGACGACCAGCTTGATTTACACCTGCACTGGAAAGGGCAGATGGAGAACTTGCTGATTTCCAATATTTTCTGAACCTCTGCACTCCTGTTGCTGGGCATCACCTGCCTGTCAGCCACACCGTGGAGGGATCTTGCTGTTGCTGTAATTTCTATACTCTCTGCTACCAATCAAGCGTTTATTGCCATTTTTATCTCTTGATGCCTGGTGTTAAGTCACCTCACGCTACTTTTTCTAGATTAGATCTTACTGCTCCGTTAAGGGGAAATGAGCAGTTGAAGGTGCTGCTGCAGTTGAACAGATAGAGTAGATAAAGTCCTTTTGGAGAAATAAACCTTAAAAGTGGGAAATGGGAATGTACACCACAAATCCTGAACGGTCGCTGGGGAACAAACTCCACGTAGTCAAATGTTGGAATGAAAAGCCTGTTGTGACCAGAAGGCGCAGAAAGAGGCCAGGGTTGCGTAACTTGTTCTGTTCCTTGTGTTGCCTTTTGTTTGTTCCTCATTGTTCTGCAGTTCTGGATCTGCTTGAACAGCAAATTTTAGAAAACTGTAGGAGAATCCCCCTGCCCTAGATCCTAACACAGGCTGTTGTGACCTAACAGCATTCATTACCCTTGAAATCACTATATGTTGTACCGAAGAAATGTTTAAACCAAAATGCAGCTATGAAATATAAGAAGTTATCTTTGCTTTCTTATCCTGCAGTCGTTCATGTTGGTTTTTAGGTTAAACTCCCGTTGTATCTTTTTGCTGTAGCGTGAATCTAACAAAATCAGGAATGTGAATGAAAGAATTGTAACTATTTTGATTTCTAACTGTTTAATGTGAAGGAAGGGAGCTACTTGCTTGCTCTGTGACTAAAGGACTTCCTTTATTCCCATGCAGATGGTTTGTGATGGGCCCACCTCGATCTGGAACAGGAATTCACATCGATCCCTTGGGAACTAGTGCGTGGAATGCCTTAGTCCAGGGACATAAACGTTGGTGCCTGTTCCCAACCAGCACTCCCAGAGAGCTCATCAAAGTGACTCGAGAAGAGGGAGGGAACCAGCAGGACGAGGCAATCACTTGGTTCAACGTCATCTATCCTCGGACACAGCTTCCCACCTGGCCCCCCGAATTCAAACCCCTGGAAGTCTTACAGAAACCAGGCGAGACAGTCTTTGTGCCAGGTGTGTACAAATCTCTCCAGCAGGGAAATCTGGGAGAGAAAAGTGTGTTTTTAATATATTCATGTGTTACAGAGGTGAAGAGAGTATTTCAGCTTTTTTTATACAGCCCATCTCTTACAAATAAACTCTCCTGAGCTCTTTCAAAAGGGATACATAGTGCAATGCTTGTTTTGAGGCTATCCAGTTATTTTTGGAATGTCCCAAAATGTGTATGGCCTGTGGCATGGGATTGCATGTGGTACAGATGACAAAACAAGAGGGACTTGAGTGGCAGCATCACAGAAATGTGATCCTGTACTAAATTGCAGTAACAGGAAACTGTCTGGGCATAAAATAAGAAGTATTTGAGTACTAATAACTGTTAGACAAAAATGTTTGAGTTCACATGCACTGTAGCAAATTCATGACTGAATTTTGTAGCCTGGTTAGTTTGACTGCATGTGAATTTTTCTTAGCTGTGGGAAACGAACTACTTAAAGGCACTGACACCTTCCACCCACCTCTCTGTGGTTATGTTTCATCTTGCATTTGAAATCAAAAGCTAAAGAAAGCTCTGCTAAAGATGCCCTTCTCTTTGAGTGGCTGCCCACTGTGTGCCCATTGTAGCTGGGGGGTGAGGTGGTGGTGGATGAACACGTGAGTTCAGTGCCAAATTCTGAGCTCTGAATCTTGCATCATTTTAGTGCAGCACGGCCCTTAGTTTCTGTCCACATTGCTTGTCTCTGACATACAGCTGACTTCACGTGTGAAGAGTGCCTTGTGATTGTCTTGGCACTTATTAGTGACTCCTCAGTGTACCTTCTGTTAAGAGTTTGTAGCTGTCGGGTTCCATTAAACTGTTCCCTTAGTCTTTTATGAGACTATAAGTGGGTTGTAAGAACTTCACTGTCTATTTTTATCCTGTGTGGGGAAACGATTTTGCGTCTATTTTTAAATGAAAGGTTAGTCTGTAGTCATAAGAACCTTAGAAAATCAGCGTGGAAAGTGCTCTCCAGCTGGGCAGAAAGGGCCTCTGTGCTGTCTGGGTTACAATGGCTCCTGCTGTTAAATAAACCATCAGTAGCCAGTGTGTTGCTGTCAAGTCAGATCTTTTTGTGAGCTGGGTAATTTGGTCAGAGTGTGGAGCAGCCTTCTGTAACAAAACCTGTCAAGCACTGGAGTGAGAGCTGAAATTAGCCTGAGGAAAGGTAACATGGTGGCAAACTTGCTTGGTTGGGGGAAAGTAATGTCCAGTTTCCACCTGCACTATGGGAAAAGTGTTCTTGGCTGTTCTTGAACTTGCTCTCTGCCATGTAGCAGCAGTGGTCATTGGTGCTGTGTTTTAGGTGGCTGGTGGCATGTTGTTCTCAACCTTGACACGACTATTGCCATCACACAAAACTTTGCCAGCTGTACCAACTTCCCCGTGGTGTGGCACAAGACGGTGAGAGGGAGACCCAAACTGTCACGGAAATGGTACAGGTGAGAGGTTTAGTGGCTTTCTTTTCATGTTCTCTATTTAAAACAAAACCTAAAAATACTCATTTACACGCGGTGTTACAGTTCAAAGGCTAACCCTGAAATTTCAACTGTGTTTAGGATCCTAAAGCAGGAACATCCTGACTTGGCAGCCTTGGCTGATTCAGTTGACCTGCAGGAATCTACTGGTATTGCTTCCGACAGTTCGAGTGATTCTTCCAGTTCCTCAAGTTCCAGCTCCTCAGACTCTGATTCAGAGGTAATGCTTTTTACTGCAATAAGTGATCCATATTCTGAAATTATATTGCTTTTTCCATACCTGATCATGTGTCCTGATCCTAATTTTCCTGTCTTATGGAAGAAATTAATGGAAAGCACCTAAACAAATCTACATTGTGGAGGAGCGTGTGGTCTTAGCAGATTCTGTTTGCTGAAGTCTCTCTGTGTTGCTAAATGGATTTGGTTTGTTTGATCTGTGTCTGCGTTATATATGAATCTGTCACTCATTTAGCTAAGCCATGCTTTGTAAAATGGCCACAAAATGAATGTTCTAAAAATGGGGAGGAGGAACAAGATCCAAAACAGATGAGTTATGACAAGGGACTCTTCTAGGCACCTAAATCTATCAGGAGCCTCTGAGTCTGCTCTTGGAAGATGAGATCCTTCAAGGATCCAAAAGGAACACATTCACATTGTCTTGCCCCAGTCAGCTTTAGTCAGTGATGAAATCTAAGAACGTTCCTGATCCCAATCTTTAAGCGCTTAATTTGAAATTTGTTTCACGTGTTTAACCTCAAATAGCACGTTCTTCGAACGTGGATTATTCGGGGTTGCTGAGGCAGCTCTGACGGTGAATTCCACAGCACAGATTCTGAATTCTGGTTTCATCTTTCCACTCTTCAGTGTGACTCTGGCTCCGAGACAGAGGGGATGATGCACCGGAGGAAAAAGCGGAGGACGTGCAGCATGATGGGGAACGGGGACACAACCTCCCAGGACGACTGTGTGAGCAAAGAGCGCAGCTCCTCCAGGTGACCCGATGGCATCTGTTGTTTTTAAACAAGCACAAGACAAAGGCAGAGCTGGCAGACTTCAGATAGGTGATTCCTCAGGACAGAGGGATGGAGAGCAAGGGATTCCTTACAGGACATAAAGCAGTTGGCCAGTGGTGGTATCTTCCCTCCATGAGTTATTTTAATTGCTCCAAATGGAAAACTAATATTCTTGATATTTTTTAAAACTAGGGGTTTTATTTAATAAACAGTTTGTTTCTTTTCCTAGTTGTCTGTTTTAATAGAGGTAAGGATTTGATTTTATTTTTGCTTAGTGGTCTGAGAGGTGGAATGTTTTAACTGTGCTCTTCAGAGAGCACAAATGAATAGTGAACAGTTAAAGATGAGGAATGGTCAGGCAGGAGTCAGATTTCCCTGCCTTGTTCAAACAGAAAACCTTCAAGTAGTTGTACGGTTTTTCTTATTGTTGCCTTGATTATTTCAATTTGATCCACTGTTTTATCTGTTAAAGGCAAAAACTCATCCAAAATTCCAAATGTCTGTGTTTATATTTCAAATTAATAAATAAATGACAAGCAAGTTTCAGTCAATCTGGAAGGAGGGAACATTAATATTGCAGAACCAAGAATAGATATGCTTAGGGTAAAGTTGCTGAAGAAGGCAGTTCTCTGGACTTGCCAGGTTAAAAACAGTGGGACACTGGGAATCTGGGGTTATGCTGCAGGGAAGAACTTAGACATTCTCTGCTGAATGAAGCATTTTTCTCATGTAGCAGAGGCTTGCCAAAATTCTTAAGCAAATTCCTTGTGGCTTGGTTGCTGGACTGGCTGCCTGCCTGCAGTAGGGTGCTGGCTAGTTCCTGAGCTGTTGGATGCTGCAGGTTTGGCATGGATGCAAGTGCTGTGGTGACTTACTGTGTGGCCTGCTAAAGGTGGTGTGCAGCAGTAATTTACCTGAGGAATTCCATATTCCCAGCATTATGCCTGAATTCCCAGTGTAGGGTCCTGCCTGAAGTCCTGTGTGCTCCTGTACTGCTCCCTTGTTTTCAGGAGTTGCTCGTAACTGAATACAATTGAATTACAAGTACAGAGCATCATTAAACGTTGGGGAGAACTGTACTGACTGCTTGTTTTGCCCTGGAGGTTTTCACAATTTGTTTGTTACGACATTGTCAAATCCCATTTCAGCAGCCAGTGTGACTCCAGGCAGGGAACAAGCAGCAGGAGAGAACAAACCTTACTGCAGACCCTGGTTTAGAAAAAAACCTGTAAAAACGCAGACCTGTTCTTCTGAAAACCCTGTGCATTTTTAAATTGTTTGCAGTTCAAATTTTAAACTGAATACCTTAAATATTAAAAATTAGCACGTTGTCTAGAACATTTGCTTTCTGGGTTTCACTGTTCTTCCTCCTGCGTGTTGATTGTGAGGCTGGGTGGGCGTTCTGTTCCAGCTGTGTGATGGATTAGTTGATAGAAACGCTTCCAAACATGAAACCTTACCCTGCTTGTACAATTCTGGAGGAAGAAATAAGCCTGAAATTAATCTGCATGCTGCGATCTCGTGCCCTGATATGAGGGGAATGCTCAAAGGCAGTTGTACCTTTTTTTGACAGGATTAGGGAATCTTGCGGAGGCCGCAGCTACCCCTGAGAGATAACACCACCCGATCGAAGCTCCGTTAGCAGCCAGCCAGCTCTGTTCTACCCCCTCCTGCTTCTGTTTCTCACAGTCCTTACGTTTTTGTCACTCTTCCTCGATCCAGACATCTGTCTTCGTTATGTGCTGTCCAAGGTTGGCTCCTGAGTAGCTTGTAGGGGAATGCCCCACCACGTCCTTGTGCAATGCTTTGTCCCCCCTGCGCCCCGGGTGAGTGCACTATAACCCAGCCGTGGGTAAGGACACGCCGAGTATTTAATGGGTCACGTAACTGGCAAGGAAGACAACGGTCAGTTTTTAAAGAACTGTTTTTAAAACCAGCAGGTAAATAAAAGCCTGCCTTGCTTTGACACTGTCATATGTTTACATGTTGTCCTGTACACTTGAGGAAAGGAACACCAGCCCTGTTGGCCTAATGGGAACGTCCGGCGGATCTTGCACCGGAATTTCGGGAAGAAGGAGAAAGAAATTAGCTTCTGCAAGAACTGAGCTGTGGAAAATGGGTCTTTGGATCTTATCCTACTGCAGGAGAACGTTGCTGTCGGGGCTGGTGCTTCCGACTGCGGGTCACATAAAATCACAGAATATGCTGAGTTGGAAGGGACCCATCAGGATCATCGAGTCCAACTCCCGGCCCAGCACAGGACACCCCAAGAGTCACACCATGTGCCTGAGAGCGTTGTCCAAACGCTTCTTGAACACAGACAGGCTTGGTTCTGTGACCACTTCCCTGGGGAGCCTGTTCCAGTGCTCAACCACCCTCTGGGTGAAAAACCTGGTTGTGATATCCAACCTAAACCTCCCCTGACTCAGCTCCAGCCGTTTCCTCGAATCCTGTCACTGGTCACAAGAGTGAAGAGATCGGTGCCTGCCTCTCTGCTGCCCCTCGAGAGGATGTTGAAGACCCCAGTGAGGTTTCCCCTCAGTCTCCCCCAGGCTGAACAAACCAAGTGACCTCAGCTGCTTCTCATAAGGCTTCTCCTCCAGTCCCTTCACCATCCTCATGGCCCTCCTTTGGATGCTCTAACAGCTTAACATCTTTTTTCTATTGTGTCCCCCAAACTGCCCCAATGTTGCAGGTGAGGCCGCCCCAGGGCAGAGCAAAGCAGGACAATCCCCTCCCTGGCCCAGCCGGGCGATGCTGGGCCTGATGCCCCCAGGACAGGGTTGGCCCTCCTGGCTGCCAGGGCACTGCTGACTCATGGCCAACTGGCCACTCACCAGGACCCCCAGGGCTGTTTCCCAGCACTGCTTTCCAGCCCCTCATTCCCCAGTCTATACACACAGCCAGGGTTGTTTGCCCTATCCCAGGTGCAGAATCCAACACTTCCCCTTGCTGGACTTCACTCGGTTGGTGATTGCCCAGCCCTCCAATTTGTCAAAGTCTGGTGTCATCAGCAAACTTGCTCAGTATTCTTTTGAGTCCTGTGTCCAGGTCATTAATGAAGATGCTGAAGAACACTGGGCTGAGAATGGAGCCCTGTGGAACCCCAGTAGTGACTGATGCCAGCCTGATGTCACCCCAGTCACTGTCCCCCTCTGTGCCCAACCAGTGAGCCAATTGCTCACCCATCCTGTAACACGGTTATCCAGCTGTGGGCTGGACAGTTTGTCCAGAAGGATCCTGGCAGAGACGGTCTCAAAAGCTTTGCTGAAGTCCAAAAAGATTCCATCTACATGCTTCCCTTGATCAACTAGGTGGGTTACCCTGTCGTACAAGGAAATCAGGTTCAACAAACAGGACTTTCCTCTCCTGAAGCCCTGCTGGCTGTGACCAATGACTGCGTTGTCTTTCAGGTGTTTTTCAATACCTTCCAGAATAATCTTCTCCATAACTTTACCAGGCACTGAAGTGAGACTGACAAGCCTGTAGTTTCTGGGGTCTTCCTTCTTGCCCTTCTAGAAAATTGGGACAACATTCACCAGCTTCCAGTCAGCTGAGACCTCTCCATATTCCAAAGGCTGCTCAAAAATCATCCAGAAAGGTTTTGTGATGACATCAGCAGTTCCTTGAGGAATCCCATCAGGCCCCATAGATTTGTAGGGATCCAGATGGAGCAGCAGATCCCACACAGTTTCAGGGTCAGCTGGGAGTTGATCATTCTCACAGTCATGGTCCTCCAGCTCAGGGCACTGAGACCCCCTTGGTCCGTCATCTGTGTTGAAGACAGAGGCAAAGAAAGTGTTAAACACCTCTGCCTTGTCCATGTCCCTATTTGGGAGGGGACCACCCCCATCCTGGAAGGGCTGATATTTCTCCACTGCCTTTTGCCATTAATGTATTTGAAAAAAACTTTTTATTGCCCCCCACATTTCCGGCAGTCTCAAACCTGGTTGAGCTTTGGCCACACGAGTTTTCTCCCTACAATGACAAGCAGCGTCTCTGTTCTTCCTGTGTCACCTGACCTTGCTTCCACTGGGCACACACCTTCCTTTTTCATGTTACTTCCAAGAGCAGATCCCTGTTCAGCCAAGGAATGGAGGGTGGTGTGAATGCTCCCAGCACTGAAGCATCTTCAGCGGAGGTGACCACCAACCTGAAGCATCTTTTGTGGTCTTTATGTGCTCCATGCACACACCTGAGGTGCAACACCTTAACCAGCACCTGGCCATTTACTTTTGCTCTGTGTCTGTTATGATGACAGGTAACAAAGCTGCACTAGCACCTCGTGACAGGAAACTCAGAGCAGGAGAATCCTGGAGTTTCTTGCACAACAAAAACTGGGGGAAAAGTCAGCATTTGCCAGTAATTACCATCCTTCAGGTGCAGGTGTAATATTTAGCACAAGGCAACTGCTGGCAAAGTCTGACTCTTACATGATCACAGCAGTTGCTGGGCTTTAAATACCCAGCAGTTCTGGGGCCATGGGCAGTTCACATCCCTAAATGGCTTTTCTTTGAGGTTATGGGTTCAGATGTTTCTGAAACTTGCAGTGCCAATTTTAAAGGACTGGGAGGAGGATGTATTGTTGTTTTATGCTTTTTGAAAATGCAGTGTGTTGCTTCAGTCTGTGTAGGTGCATTTGTGTTATGCCTGGTAAAGCTCTCGTCCCCAAGGGATCTGTGGGAGCTGCTGGTTTGGTTTTTTAGCAGGCATGTCTGTCTGGCTCAAGGTGTGCTGCAAGGAAATCTGAACAGCACAGGCAGAAGCTGTCTGAGTTGGGTGCTCTTCCAGGGGTGCTCTCCTGAGCCCTAGGAGGTGGTTATAGGATCTCACTTTACTGGGAGAGGAGACTTGACAGCAGAAGTGCCGTGTGTGTTGTAAACATGTAATAATGCCCAGGCACTGATTAAAGAGCAGATTGGCAGCCTCAGCTGTGACTTTCTTACACATGTTGGGTCTGATGGAACCTGGAGCAATGCTTGTCTGGGTTTTCTGATCTTTTTTAACCTTGTCTTTTCCTATTTAAACACTCGCTCCCTTCTTGGAGACCAGGCCATATCCTGTTGTACAAGGGAATCCTAAATATGTTTGTCAGGATCTCTGTTTTTGACTCTTCTGTGCCAGTCAGTTTGTGTAGGAGCAGCGTGGTGGCAGGGAAATGATGAGAGGGAAGTTTTTGTGGTACACTTGAGCTGTCCAGATTCACAAATTTTTTGTGATGACCAGACATAAGCGAGCACCGCTCTGTACACTGTGCACATTGTTCCACAAAATTACTTTATTTAAAAAAAAAAAACAATTTCTCAAACTACTGGTGTTTCTGGCCAGGGCAAAACAGCCTGGGAGCCTGCACAGTCTGTGTGTGTCTTCTCAGAGCAGGCTGCAGCTGCTGCCTTTTTGGAAGAATGTGGGGCCTGGAGAAGCAAAGGCTCTCAAGGATCAGCTCTGCCACGGCAAGGGGAGTCCTTGGAGAGCTGTCCCCTGCCCGCTGTGGTGGCTGGGCAGCACCTCAGTGAGAGGTGCATGCATTTGGCATGTGTGATTCAGTTCTGCAGTCTTAAAATCTTACATGTGTGTGAACACCTGAGCCCTGTGCTGGGAAAGCCACACGTCTGCCTCTGGAAGCACAGTGGGAAGACCAGAGTGCAGAGCATTCTTCCACGCCTGTGAACTCCTCCGTGGTGTGAAATAACACAATTTCGGATGAAGCCTGTGTTGGTCTGACACCCCTCACAGAAAAGCAGCATTTGCAATGGACTGCAAACATGATACCAGCAACACTCTCCTGAGTGCTCCACAGGGCGCTTCCTGCCGTGAAACAGTATTTGTTCAGGCTACCTGGGAATCAGGACCCTGGGATCTCCAGTTCTTCCACTTACGGCTTTTGTCTCGGCCAAGTTGGTGAGATTCTGTCTTTGAGCAGTGAGGAAAATCCCTACCTCACAGGGGTGTTGTGAGGCTGAACTGCAATTACTGTGTGAGATGCTTTGAAGTCATCCACCCACAAAAAGTGTTCCATTCATCCCGAGCAACCTGAGACTTCTGAGCCTCGTGGTGGCTCTTTACAGCGGAAAACATTGGGGATGTTGTTCAGCTCTCCTGGCCACGTGGTGTTCTCTGGTGGCCCTTCCAGAATTGCTGGTGGCACATAAACTGTAGCAGAACAAGGCTTTTTGTTTTCACCAGGGTTGAACTGTTGCTGTTTCATGGCCTGCTCTAAACAGCAGGTCCTGCTAGAGCAGGATTTGTTTTTAAATAGGACTAGATTAAATTCTCTCTCATCAGGGAGTCAGCCTCGCTGGCCTTACAGGAAGGGGGTGAGCTGGTGCTTCCCAGGCCCTCATTCCAGGCTGGATAAGTGAGGAATGAAGTTAAAAACTGTGCTCCCTTTGTGCCTAGCTCCGTGCTTGTGGGAGGCTGACTGGGGACAGTGGGGTTTGTGCTCTCACTTCTCCAGGCTTGTGCTTCTTGGGGCATCCATGTCTGTTGTTCCAAACCCTCTGCTTTTGTATCCTGTAGAGCCCCTGGATGCAGCTGGTCCAGCACCCAGACCCCGTGGGCCCCTCATTTCCTTGAGCCCCAGAGCAGCTCTGCCTCAGTGCCCTGGGCCTCAGGAGCCTGCCCTGTCCCCTGGGGATGGGCTGGGAGCCTTGGGCTGGGTTTGGACTGTGACCTTCGTCCTGCCTGCTCTGGGAAAGGTGGAGAGATTTGGGAGCTCTGGCCGTGCTGTTGGGTCTGGTGACCAACACAGGCTGTGACAGTTCAGGAGGAAACAA